AAAATTATGTAATTATGATTTCTTGCCAAAAATTGCTGCCTTGTCTCATTAATATTTCGTTTCAAGATACATGTAGACAATTAGCTGTTGTGGTTTGGGCTCATATTATGGTTCTTTGTAAGATTATCATAAACATGATTTTTTCACTCAGTGTTGCATAATCTCATCTTTATCAAAACCTGATGTGATAATTCTGATATGTATGACATATGGCAACATTTACATATGTACAGATAGCTTCCATTTGTACCACTTTTAAAGAGTAAATAATTCAACCAGTGAATATACAACTTATTAATAAATACTATGCATTTAACATGGTTCAAGAAGTTTTCACTATTCCACTGTCTACATCACTCAAGTAGTTTTCAATGTTGTTGGATTATACTTGAACATGAAGATACTCTTATGGTGCATCTCATTGATGTGAAAATTGAAGGTAAGTTGCACTGTAGTGACTAAAGCTGGTAATGAAATACATTTTTCGCTTTCATGAGTGAAACGCACGTCAGCAAGCCCTTTCAATTTTGCAAGTTCTTGTATTCACAAATTATACTGAACTTATAATGAAATGTACCGCACCCCCAGGATTGTGCTATTTACCGGTATCAAATAAGTCTAATTGTCTTCACTACAATAAATCCTGTCATGCATTGTGGTGCAAATTTTATTTCAGGTGGACTAAACACTAGTAACCTAGGAAATTCGAAGTTTGCTTGGATGCAGTGGTAACATGAGTAAAACATGCTATAAACTTGAAAGCGGTTGAGGGGCCTAATGGCTATACAGGAAACAACACAACTCTGGTGTGCAACTGTTGTTTCACATCATATATTTTTCTGTATTATACCCTATCTTCCATCATTGTACAAAGATTCTCGTGTGTGATTCGATGACACCCTAAAATGCTGAAAACTGAATCACAACCAAGATCCACAGAACTGCATGCTTGGTGATATTCGGTTATTGCCAAGAAGCTTCAGATGTATGTGGATATCTTATAGAGATCTATAGATATAATTTAAAGCAGTGACTTATACCTTTCTTTATGTATTACAGCACTGCAGAGATTATAAATCTTTGATTACAGATATTTTTCAGCTGGCAGCCATTACCGTTACTATAATATATACCGGTATTAAATAACATAGAATCAGTTTAGAATTAATTAATTAATAGTATGACTATACTTTCTGTATCTGGAAATAAATGCCATCTATTCTATTCTGCAAAGCAATCAATGATTTTACCACAGTTCCGATAAAGAGACTGTGTAACTGCCGTATATGGTTTGTTTGCAAAGGATACACACAAGGAGATCTTTGTCCCCGGAGTCATTGGAAGGCGGTACTTCTTCCTGATTTTCTCCACATAATACTGTACTCGACGTTATCAAACACACCAATACGTGTGCATAGAAACGCATTTTACCTGAGTTACAAATCAATCTTCAGATATAAAGTAAAAAAAGGAAAAGAAAAAAGATTAACTGCGGACTTCTCCTCTCTTCGAGTGATCACCTGCACACTTGTACACGTCGGACTTTTTCGTCACGTTGCCTCCTACCGGAAGTTTGGGAGGGATTCCCCTTCCCAGCATTCATTATTGCGCACGCGCAAATGCGTACAAATAGGGATTTTCCAACATGGCGGATACCACCACGGAGGTGAGTCGATATTTGTATTTATAAAATGTCAACACAGATCACCGTTGCTTTTGTTTTGAGTTGGATGTAATTTAAGGATTCCTGGTTAGAGTAATTGCTTCCTTTGGATCGGTGGCTGTTCTGGTACAAATATTGCATTACATATGGCATTATACGGCTGATCGCCTTCACTGATCGCCATGTGTATATTCCTGGTTCCACGTCACACACAGCTGTGCTCTAGATCCATTGAATCACGAGTTCCACATTTTGTCTGCGTTTTCACCACTGCTGTAAAAAACCGGCTGTCGCAAGCTGACGCCAACGCAGGTTAGCATGTAGCCATTTTGAATGGAATAGTTTTTCCAGTGATTTTTAATTGTTGTGTAAACGGAAAAAGCCAGTTTGAAATTGAATGTTTTTGTCGACGAACAGTGTAATTTTGTTATTTTCATTACCCAGTCAGTATATGTTATCACTATTTGATTGTGCTTTGTTTAATGCGATCTAAAATTAATTTTATAACAACTTGCTACGTCACTTTGAAATGTTTCATTGTGTCTATCATGACATTTGTCATTCGTGTATATGAGGAATTATAATTATTTTCATCTCCAGAATAACATGACGGATCTTGCCTTGGAACACCCGATTGAGGGGGATATTACAGTACCTGGTGCACCGGACGATGAAAGTGATGAACTATCAACATTAGATGAACCAGTCGTTATAACAGTTGTAAGTATTCATGGATGATAATGATTTAAATTTTGTTATCAGAATTGTCATTGACTGCAAAAAAAAATTTAATCTGTCTCTTAACTGAATTGCAACTGAAATATGAAATTCTGTTGCTTCTCTTCGGACTACTTGTCATAAGATGGTGATTATTATTTAAGTCTTAAGTTTTAATCAAACAGGTGTCTCTATTTAAATAAATATATTTTAAATGTTGTTATTTTTTCATCCATGAAAAGATTATATCATTCATAGCAACAAATAAGCCATTTTCCGCTCACTGAGAAATCCCAATTTGCATGAAACCAAATGTAAGAACAGGTCAAACAAAGATCATAGTGACGTCAAATCATTGTGTGGGATTCAACAAAGGAAAAAGTATTTTGTGGTATTTCTACACTTATTAATAATGTCACTTGTGCAATGCACATTTGATGTCAATTTGATGAAGTAAAAGAATCTCTAGACCATATTCTTCTCTGAAAGATCATTAGTTTTGACATTGAGTTAAAAAATAATCATTGTTGAAATTCAAATCATTCATTTTTTACAGCAGACATTTGTTCTATGCCTTTCATGTACTAAGCAAGATCTCATAGTACCGGTACACAGAAAATCTCATATTGATGGTTGATTAGTATATACTATTAACATGACTTGAGGTAGCATCTATACATGTACGTACATGTTGTGTTTCAGTATGATACACAAACATCTATGGTCTATTCACATACTGTGTAAAATAATTTATTGTCATTGGATTTATTTTTTTGCTGAAAACCACAATTTGGTTTGAAAGGTATTATTTTGACCAGTAGGCTCCATCTAGGAACTATTACTATTTTGACTGATTCTCCGATATAATAATAAATTCTGAGTGAGAATGATGTACTTTACATGTAGGCCATGTTATTGGTGGTTGGAGGTTGGATCATACAAAATATATTTGTACATGTTTTATCACTTTTTTGATTTTATATTATTGCAGTCCTTTTAAATCAGGCGCTTATTATTTGAATAATTGGGCATTAAATAACATCCGAAATTGGATCAAAAGTAAAAATGTAAAAAAAAAGTATTCAAAAACAGTGGTTTAGGTTTTGTCTAAAAGCGTTTGCTTAAATTCTATGGCACTGTCAAGGAATTGTTTTATCAATGGATGTACAAATGTTATTTTCATGGAATTGTGTCTAGGAGTCCCCAGGGTTCGCCAATGTAAAGTGGGCGTGGCACATTCGTAACTTGCATCATTGGCATAAACGTTGAAAAAATGGAAACCAAAAAATCTATTAATCTACATATTATTACATATGCATAATATATATATATATATTTATTATTACAAAATTAATGAGAATTTTGAAGAGCTATTATTAAGTAAATGTCAGCACGTACAATCAGCTGATTTTAGCTGCACGATTCATCACGCGGCGACATCAGTTGTTTACCAGTAATGATCACGTCAAAAAAAGACGTAAAAGTTTAATTTATTTTACCAAATAGATACATACATGCTTTATTTAATTTTTAGCAAAAATTGTAATTTATATTTATTTGGACGAAGCAAACTAAATTTATGATGTCGCACAAACGTTCGTAATTGGTTCATTGAAAAACTTGCATGAATGTGCGTCATCGACACCAAAAAAAAAAGATGATCAAATGAAATAAAGTCTACACAATAGAAGATTTTCGATCTGCAGTTAACAGTTACTATCAAAAATAATAGAATTATGTATAAAAAAATACATACTTAAAAGAAGAATTTTCATTCGTATCGAAAGTTTGTTGATGTCTTTCGTTAAAAACAGCAGTGACCCGGAAACAGTTCATTTTACTGCGTGCATCCTGATATTATGTAACGATGCCTTTGAGGAAAACAACCAATCAGAATATTTGTTTCAAGAAAAGCATAAGTAAATTTATTTCCTCCACTTATGATGCGAGTTGAAAGGATGGCCGTTTTACCGGGGTTTTTAAATAGTGATTTAAAGAAAATTCAACTTTAAATAGTGACATTCGTCAAAATATAAACATTTACATGTTTAAGCAAGCATTTGTGTGGACTTCTTGGTGATCAGCAATGTCTGTGATGGTACTTCGGCTGCGCTGGTCATTTACCGATCGTGCAAGAGCATGGCTGCCTTTGTTCCGCTCGGCGGTGACGATGTTGCTGCTACCAGCCACGGCGTGAACTTGGTTTTAACCATAGATCTTATGTTTTAACGAATGGTTTTACCGATAAAGATTTTATATATTTGACTTCACCCTGGCAGTAAAAATATGGGTACGGTAATACACTTTTCTAGGCCACATGTTCATTTTTAATCGTGTTGAAAAAAACTTGCAACTTTTAGTTCTGTTGTAACATAGATGTACTAACAAGCCGGAATTTTCACAGTTTTCATACCTTAAAACAATGAACCAGTTACCCTGAGCACGATGAATCATCTTCGGAAGACAATGAGTGATGGCCTGTTTTGTAAACAATTCTTTGTCTGGGACCATGCAGGGTGCACAGGAAATATAACAGGGCGCTGACAATTTAAACAGGGCGCCAATTTCAGATAACAGGGCGCGGCGCCCTGTTAAAACCCCTCGTGGAGAACCCTGGTCCCCCATCAATAAAATAAGCATATTCATTCCTTTATTTGTTGAAATAAGTTTTCTTATTGCGACAGTAATTAAAATATTATGAAATCTTATAAGATGCATACAATTAAGATGTATATAATAAAAAACAACACAGGTCAGAGAATTAATGTCTGACCTGATAATATCTTTGTGAATGGTTTGCATTCATGGTCAAGTGACAGGTTGGTATCTGTTGTGTAGTGCCATCCATAAGCCATTAATTGTTGCATGCAGTTGTTGCGAAGTTTTTATTTACATTTATGTAAACACTATACATTTTGGTCATTCCACCAAAAATCAAAAATGGCATCAAAACCATGTGACCGAAAAGATTTATTTTATTTTTCTCATAAAAGCCGATTTCCAGACACAATACCTGCAACCTACCAAGTTGATGCACTCATAAGAAACAAATCACGTTACCGGTACTGATCCACAGAGCCATACATTCTACATTCAAAATATCAAATATTTATGGTAAACAAATGAAACTAAGATGATGGCCAAACCATGTGACTGATTAAAATTATTTTCTTTACTTGTAAAATACTTTGGCCATACATGTTTCATGTCAAATATCAAGTTGATCTGTTAAAGTACTCAGAAAAAACAAATGCACAAAATGTTTGTCATTTTTCATGAAAATTCAAGATGGCTGCCAAACTGCGTTACTGATTCAAATTCTTTTTCAACGCTTTAGTATCCCTCATTGTATGTTCCATTCAGTGTCACTAAGTATGGCTGAATTTGCAATATGTTAATGATATTATATGTTTTTTCTATTTTATTTTAGAAAAGAGATTTAAAAGCAGTTGGTATTAAATTTTTTCACGTCTTGTGGCCAAAACAGAGCAAAACGTTACTTAGAGAATGTAAGTATTTATCATTGATTAGTATTTATACACTGAGTTAGGTCTAAACCATTCAGAATGTAGTTGAAACATGTTGAGTTTGTAGGGTGTACAGTTGTTGGAATATATTCAGTGGAGGTACTTCTAATTCATGCTTATTTTTTCACTTTCAGGGGATCTTTGGGGACCTCTTATTTTGTGTATTTTATTAGGAATGTAAGTATAACTCATTTGTTTGAAGGTACAAGAAATGAACATTACCATCACTTTGAGTATTTTATGTATTGCAGTATGAGACATGATAAATTGTGTTGATTAACCGTATTGTCTCCGTCTTAGGATGTTACAGGGTTCAAGTGCAGATGACAACAGTGATGGGGGTCCACAATTTGCAGAAGTGTTTGTAATTGTTACCGGAGGTGCTATTATAGTTACACTTAACTCACAACTTTTAGGAGGAACGATGTAAGTATTATTGACCTTACCTTGATAGTTTGATATGATAAGTTGTAGCAAGGTATCTTGTTAAGGCAGAAGGATTGGTTATCACCTGACATTACTTGTTGACTCCTTGTAAGGAGTCTCTTGATTGTTTAGTTATCCATTGAAGTGTCTACATGGGTTCCTTTTGCACCCCACCCCTAATGTTAACTGTAATCTTCATCCTCACCTGAAGCCCCTAAGTTCAATTGTATATGCCCCCTAGCTACTTAACTATGTGTTCTTTGGAGGGGCATATACAATTAATTCTGAAAGGGTAGGTTAGGGTTGGGGTATGCAAAAGAAGCACTTTCCTCTAGATGATAGTTTACACTTGTAGTGGAGATTTGAGAATCATGGATATCTTTATCAAATGATTCTTGGCATTCTTGCAGGGTTTCATGTTGCGAGTTCAGATGTAAAGAAGAAATTACAATTTATTGTGTGTATTTATTACAAACAAAACCCTCTCTTTCAGTAAAATTGAGGTCCCTTTATAATATTGAGGGTCTGGGAAGCAGACCTCTAACTATCATCACCTATCCCATAATGCATTGTACATACATTATGCTAACTAGTGCGCTCAGTATAGCCCAAGAATTTAAATTTGACTGAAATTATCTAGTCATTTTTGGAAAGATTTAATATTCTTTATATTGTGTTTTGTTTCACTTACAGATCATTTTTCCAGAGTGTATGTGTTTTGGGTTATTGCGTATTACCTCTGAATGTAGCTCTAATTGTATGTAGACTGGTATTGCTAGCACCGGAACAAACAACAGCACTCTTTGTTATCAGATTTGCAATAGTATTTGTTGGATTTGTGTGGTCCACATTTGGTAAGTATGCTTGTCACTGTAGTGGATATTATACTTTTCACCACCAGACTTTCTTGCCCAAATTTGTCTACACATTTTTCTTATATTCTTCAATATTTCAGGAAATGAACCCTAATTATGTAGCCAACAGACACAATTTCAATTTTTATTCAACAATTTGGCTATTTTTGTCTCAATCTTCTGAAGGACTATGAACAGAATTTTTTTTTTCCCTACATTTTACAACGCAAATGTTCGCACATGTACATTAATAAGGTAATACCACAAAGTATACATTAAGGCAGTACAGTGATTGAATCTATTGACATATAGCATAGTTTGTGGTATTCTCGAAATAACCTCATAGTAAGGTAAAGGTATTGTGACATGTCAGTGAGAGCAGGACATTATTACTGATATCACTCATTCTGATTCTTTTTTTATTTTGTTTCATTGCAGCATCTATGGCCTTCCTTGCAGACAGTCAACCTATCAACAGAAAAGCACTAGCTGTTTATCCCATTTGTTTGTTTTACTTCATAATTGGTTGGATGATTTTATCGCATACTCATTCCTAATTACTCATATGTATCGGGTTATGTACATATATTTTATGGGATACTTTTTGTACCTACAGTACGCAGCATATTGCTAAAGCAGTCATGCTGCATACAATAATATGAGGTTATTACGACAATACCTCAAAGTATGCAGAAAGACGGTACAGCTGGAGAATTGGCCGACGTGTAGCGGAGGTCGATGCACGGCGTACTTTTTGAGTGCATACTTTGAGGTATTCTCATAATAACCTTACTATTATACATCTTTTCCTTCCAAGGATACACCATGGGAATGCCGAAATCCAAAATGTTTATAACAGAATCAGCGAACTAATATGTGTGGAGTCTGGTCAAACTCTGGTGGCAGCCATGTTTGTTTTTATTATTAGAGGACGCTTGCGCGTGCAATCATCCGATATTTGGAATTCACATTACATAATATGGTAGGATAGAAATACCACCTAAAATACTGCAAAATTTTCGGCACACTGTAACTTATGGCGTTACGGTGACAGATGTATAATAATGACTATTATTAAACTTTGTACTCAGAGATGATAATATAAGATTTATTGGTGTTTTCTATTCTGTGACTAATTTGATTGTGGTGTTTGTTTTCCACAATTTGGATTATTTTTTCACAATATGTAAGCACCAGTAAATATTCATCTCAAAATTTAACTTTAAGGATTTGGCCATTTTACATAAATTTTATAGTAGTAAACACTATCATTGTATTAATTTGTTTTCTGTACAAAATTGTTGATTTCCTCACAGAATTGGACTGTATTCAATTGACCAAAATGTTATGTCCTCCCATATTTTTTGTACCCAATGGTTCTCAGACTCATGCCACTAATGCAGGGAGACAAGGAGACTACACTATTTTTGCTATTGGAAGAGTTAATGCAAACTAGGATAAGTGAACTCTCTACATGTTCAGAGAACCTACCAGTGCTATGTGTGTACAATCTACAAATATGGAATGAGATATCTCGTCTTCCAGTATTGATGCAAATCAAGCTTTTTTCAATCAAAATTATGTAAAAATAAGCATTCATTTAAAAGGGTAACGTGTTCTAATTTTTATATAGGCAGTTTTGTTCTGACTAGGTGTGGTGGTCAAAGTATTATTTAATATCGGTATATTAAAATTAAAATACTAGCAAAAAATGAAATTTGATTATGTTGGTGGACACTTGCTTGAATACACGCTTTGTTTTCACCATATCCCAATTTGCCAGGAAGAATGACTTTTCAGATTATTATATTTCCTATATCAGGCACGGGACGTGCAACTTCAGTGTTTCATTTGATGTACATTGTATCTATACCTAAATTCCTATAATCTGTCAATTGTCCACTATTTTTACACTTTCACAATGTTTTTCTGCATGTCCAAATACTCGTTTTCCTTGGATGTTTGCCACAATTTCTGCATAGACTGGATGCGACACATACATCTATTCTTTCTGATTGCGAGAAGTTTTTTTTTTTTTTTCACGTACATTATTACAAATGTACGTATTTTGTAGTTTTATTACAGCATTAAAACAACCTGTGTAAATTGGGAAGGGGGTTTAATACCACATGCACAATATTGAAGTCAATGACACATGTAAACCATTTATTAATTTATTAGGTAATTTATTAGCTCCCACAGGTGTGTGTAATTTATCCATGTAGTATACATTTAGTATCACATCTTGTTTTCTTGTTTGCGTCCAGATAAAAATGGAAGTTGGGGTTCTTTCAGTTACAATATACAATATACAAGAATAACTGGATTGTGCATGGGTATATATTGGCAACACTTTTTTTTTTTTTTTAAAGATGAATCATGTTCCAAGGATTTTGATTTTTACTATGTGCAATTCGACTACCGCGAGCTAGCTTGGTGCCTGTGCAAGAAACCTAGGAAAATAGTGTTGTACCTGGCAAAGTTGGGCTTCAGACTAGCTTGCGGACATTACCAATTACAATAACTTATTTTGTTATTTTAGTGACAAAATATATAGATTTTTCCTTGAATAAAAGGCATGTATAAACTTATTATTCCACATGGTTTTATTGTCACACACTAACGTTTGTGTATATACTGAATTACCGCGATAATTTGAGGAAGTAAAAGCCCATTAATATTATTCTAATATATGGCTTGATAAATACTTCAGATTTATCGCTATGTGGAAGTGACCTATTTTACCTACACACATATGAAATTGGTGGCACGAGACCTGCCAGTTAAGCTTTCACAACTATCATTCTTGTAATATGCTGCTGATGGAAGTAGTACAATGTAGTAGTAATTTCAGTACCACTATGTAATTAAAGCCTCGCTTATTAGTCTTGCCTACCGCTCCATTGTCCAATACTTTCAATCCATGTACCAAGCAAATTTTTTGGCTTACTCGTACTAACTTTGGTTGTGCATGTTATATCGTAGGACAAGTTTTTGTGTGTGCATTCAGAAATCTTTGTTGGTGGTTACCCGATTTTATTTGTAGAACGTGTACTCTAAAAGCCCAATCATTATCCAATGTTTCAAAATGACAATGTTTACATAATTTCTACTAGTTTATAATTCCCAGTGTACCAACAATGAGAAAATTTTAAATGTTTTTTGAGAAACAGTATTGATCATGTGTGGAGTAATCAAGTGACAATTACTGATCTTGTGAATGGACTCTCACATGAACGCTTTATTTTCTGGTCATCATTCATCAAAGCATGGGCAGTGGAACAAAAACTAACCTCGTCCTTTGTGAATGCTCCATTAACTCCCGCTTTTTCAAGTCAAATCTTTCCTATAAATTGTCTTAGGACTTTTGTACAGATCATGCAAGTTTTACAGAGCTGAAAAACCACAAAGGATGGGCTCTCGCAGTTGCCCATGTGACACTCAAGTCATTGCCTTCTCTGCCACATTCTTCAAGCACATACCATACAATTTCATTCATACACGCAATAAATTTCCTGCAGTATTTTCCATTTAAAAATGTGGGACATGGGCCCTTTTCCAATACAAATATATTTTTGCAGGACTCTAAATGCTTCCATAAATAGATGGTTTGGAGGATAATGGTTTAAGATAAAGCCCTAATACTCCACCATTGCCAGGCACAATCTTCTAACATTCCTCAAACTGCAGTCTCAATATTTAACAGCACATGCATCTTGGGTCCGACATATCCC